CGCGCAGACAACCTCTTATAAGCCACTGTCCCTAGCAGACAGGGAGAGTTGCCTCACACACCGGATAACGGGGACATGCTAGTCCGCGCCCAATTCCAGGCTTGCCCCGAGGCGGGACAAAGAGCACGCTGGAGATCAACCAGCGGCAACAGTCACCCGAGGCAGCAAATCCGGGTTTTGTACACAATAACCCCTCCTCCGGGTGGATCCAGAATTATGCTCTTCTTATTGTGTTTTTCCTTGGTGATTCGAAAGGGCGTAATTCGACGGTGACACACGTCAGATGTCCCCGTTATAACAAAAACGGTGTATAAGAGTCGGCTAGAGCGGTTTTTAATATGATGTAGACGCCAATGCGAACACCATCAAGAAAGCGTAGCATACAGGCTCAACTGTCTGTATAACTAACCATTCCATGAACATGCATCTGCATTCGGCTTAAAAGCAGGAGCACGCGAGGCTTAACATATTTTTTTTGTTTTTTAAGCACTCATTTGGGAGAAGACAAATATTAATTTAGCGAATTTGTTTTCTGGAAAATAACTGTTAAGTTGTTATGCTTTTTATCTTCTGCCTACCACAACCTTTATGCGTGTAGATATCTACTAACTGGTGTCCAAGTATGCCGCATGCCTATGAATGCAACATGTTCGACAATTGTTAAACTAAAGTCAATAGACAGGGAGACCAAGAGACAAACAATGAGATTGCCTCGTCTATCATGACAGCCCTTAAAAGTAATCACTAAGCACTGTGAAGATGAAATCGCTGCCCATACTCTTTACCATAACTTACGTGTGCACACGCTAATTACCGTTGTACAGAAAACGAAAACTTTTCGGATCATCGGGAGGCAAAGACTGCATTTTTCCTACATTTAGGGTTTGCATCAGATCCGATTTCCCGAGACAAGAGAAATAACATAAAATAGGCTGTTTTTTTCAGGCCCCCGACCATTTAGTGACCGGTATGTGTTGGCCATCTGAAAATGAACTCAATAAGATAGGGTAAGGTGGATATGGTAATTTACCGAGTTCTGGTCAGATTTACAGGCCACCATCGTCTTCCAACCTGTCTTCATGACGGTGGTGGTGATGGTGTGGATAGTCAGAGAAATAATCGTTCTGCACAACCGAAGTGTACTCGAACCCATACCAGAGGCCAGCTCCAAAGCGTCACTAGATTGACTAGGTCCAAATCCCCCCCATCCCCACCCTCTCCCAGGGTGTTCCGCAGATAGAACGAAGCATAAATTAATTTCGATTACAGAGAGCGTAACGGATAACCGGATAAATTCTATATTTACACGTTCTACCGGTTTTTTGTTCCATCTCACAAAATACTTTCCCTAACAGCCGATCTTCCCCTCGAAAAAAAGGTAACCAGTGCGTTACTCTCTTCAGTAAATCCACATACATACAGACTAGCCTATACGTATGCGATCAACTACAACTTACGCAGTACCAACCACTGTTACGACCAGTCTCGTTGTATTTTACCGTCTCTCTGGGGTCTCGGTGGACAAAAGGGCAACAGTAGTTTAAGCAGTGCACCTCATTAATCCCTAGTCCCAGAGCTTTTTGCTACGAAACGGTGGTTATAGGGTTTTTGAGTGGGAAATTAGGATATGCTGTGGAATATTCTTTGACTACTGCTGTACGCATTTTATTTTAATGTATTAACAAATATTGTTGATTTAAATCTGTGGATTTTCCTAATTTGTATTGCCGTTTAACGTATTGTGGAAAACCCCGATTACCAAATTTTAGGCTTCTTGAAACTCCTGAAAAATACAAATGGTGGTTAGGAGGTCGTCTACTTCAATTTACCTGCGGTCCAACTTATGGTTCTGCGGTTAGCCTAGTAAAGTCCGCAGCGCTTTACACTTCTAAAAATTTCCTTCCCTGCCTATCCTATATACCCACCCCCAAAACCCTATAATTACCGTTTCCGTAGGGCAAAATGCTGGGACTAGGGGTATATGAGGTGCACTATATAAACTACTTTTGCCGACAAGTCTACCCTTTCTCTGGATTAGCGTCCCGAAACGAAAGAAAAAGTGGGTCACCAGGCAACTTAAAACCAGAAATAACTGCCTTAAAAATCGTAGTGTATGATTTTGTTAAGAGTGCCTGAGGCAGACTGCCGCTTTCGCTCTTCCCGACTAAATTCACAGCGGCAAGAGAAGTG